ACAGAAATGTTGCAGGCCAGAAGGGATTGACAAGAAATATTCAAAATGATGAAAAACAAGGACTTATAGCCAATATTACTGTACGTAGGATAGCTATCATTTAGGATTGAAGTACTGAAAAAGAGCTTCCCAGCCACAAAAAGCTAAAGGAGTTCATCACCAGCGAACTAGTATTATAAGAAATGTTGGTCTTCTGCCCTGGCTGGTGTAGCTCAGTGGATTGAGTGCGGGCCTGCAAACCACACGATTGAGGTTTGATTCCCAGTCAGGGCACATGCCTGGGTTGCAGGCCAATTCCTAGTAGGGAACTCATGAAAGGCAACCATACATTGATATTTCTCTCCTCTCCTTCCCCTCCTCTCTAAAAAAAAGAATACTATTAAAAAAAAGAAATGTTGGTCTTCTTTAAGAAGATGTTGGAGATGAGAGTGAGGGTGAGTTGGAGTGGAGGTGTTGGAGGAGGGATAGATATGAATATAAAATGGCAATAAATATATTTTTGCTCATATTTTAAATGCAAATTATTGCTCCAATCAGAAGGCATATGGTGACTGAATGGATAACAAAAGAAGACCCCTATACATGTTGCCTACAAGAGACTCACTTCAGATCAGAAGACATACTGTGACTGAGTAAAGGGCTGGAAAAATACATTTCATGGAAATAGGAACAAACAAATAATTGCTGGGATAGCAATACTTACACCAGACAAAATAGACTTTAAAACATAGGCTATGTAACAAGAGACAAAGAAGGAGCCAGTGTTTCTACTTCTGGGTATTTATTCAAAGAAACCTAGAACACTAAAATGAAAAGACATATACCTTCCTATGTTCATTGCAGTATTATTTACAATAGCCAGTATGAGGAAGCAACTTAAGAGTCCATCAGTAGATGAATGGATAAAGAAGTGGTGCATGTATACAATGGAATATTACTCAGCCATAAAAAAGAATGAAATCTTACCATCAGTAACAACATGGATGGACTTAGAGGGTATTGTGCTAAGTGACATGAAGACAAAGGCTAGATGATTTCACTTATCTATGGAATCTAAAAAACAAAATAAATGGATAAGCAGAACTTAAATAGACACATGGATACAGAGAACATTTTGATAGTTTCCAGATGGTAGGCATTTGGGGTCTGGATGAAAAAATATAAGGGACTAAGAAGTATAAATTGGTAGTTACAAAATTGTCATGAGGATATAGAATGCAGCATAGGGAATAGTCAATAATATTGTAATAACTATGTATGGTGTCATATGGGTACTAGATTTATTGGTGTGATCATTCGTAAATTCTATAAATGTCTAATCCCTGGGATGTACACCCAAATCTAATATAGTATTGTAGATCAGCTATAATTGAAAAATAAAAAAAGTTATTAATGCTGTAAAAAAGTCTTTGGTAAGTCTGAAAACTGTATTTGTTCATGGATGTTTTTGGAGATTTATTTTTTAATTTGCCACATTTTCTGTTTCTTTGTATGCATATGATCTTTTATTGAAGATTAAGCAATATATAAAATAGCTGCTTCTCCCACTCTTAGTTTGCTGACTTCTTGCTGGGAAGGACTTAATTAATAAGTGTAGAGTGAAGGATCTTCTTAGGTCTTTTCTGGGCATTGGTCTTCTGTGGGTGGGCCTGTATTTGAATTTGTCCTGTATCATCCAAATTCTCCTATGTACATGGCTGCTTCAAAGAATCTTAAGTTTTTAAAAAGTGCCCCCCTGCTTTTTTTTTTCTTTTTGCCAGGGCAGGGTGGGTTTAACTTTGTATTCCTATGCCTGTAATCTCTTGCCCCCAGGTATCTTCAGATTTGTAGTTTTCTTTTGGTTTTCACAAACCACACTCACTGCTTCTCATGGCTTCCCCTAGCTTGAGAGCCAAGCCCCTTTTGACTGACTGAACTCTGAGTTAGGCATCACAGGGACCAATCAAGCAGTTTTTAAACAGATTGGAATGTTGCATACTTGGTTTCTGTGCTTCCTGGTGAAAGGGAACTGGAGCCTGGGCTGTTGCTTTCCTCTTACTGTGACATGCAGTACCAGGGAGCAGGGAGTGGGGGAGGCAAGGGAAGCTATAAATGTCACAAAATTTTTTTCATTTCAAATTTGTTATTTTGCTGATTGAGCATATGTTTAGGTGCTGTAGATCTTTGACCACTTTACAGAGTTTTTATTAAGTTATTTTACTTTGAGGTCATTGATCTTCTTGGATAATGTATATTGCTGTGTTTCACCAAATTTGGTATTTTTTGGACATTTTAAAAACATTTTTCTGCCCCTTTTTCCTTTTTCTGTTTTTCACACTGTGCATACATTAGTATGGTTAATGAAGTCCCATATTTCTCTGAGACTCTGTTTATCTTCACTTTTTTTTGTTTCTTCATGTTGCATAATCTTGATTGACCTATACTCAAGTTTGCCGATTTTTGTGCCAGTTCAAATTAACTATTGAGATACACTAGTCAACTTCTCATTTTAGTTTTTGTAATTTTCAGCTCCACAATGTCCATCTGGTTTGTTGTTGTTTTTTTTCATCTATATATTGATCTTTTCTTTTGGATCAGACATTTTCATTATACCTTTTTTTAGTTCTTGAAATAGTTTAATTCTTTGAGCATATTTGCAGTGACTACTTTGAGTATTTGGTATGACATCTAGATTTCTTAGAGATAGTTTCTCTTGCCTGCTTTTTTTCCCTTTGTGAATGGATCTACTTACTTGTTTCTTTGTATGACTGGTAATTTTTTGTTGAAACCTGGACAGTTTAGCTAATATAGTGTAGCAAGTTTAGTTACTGGACCCCTCCTTCTCTGTGGACTCTTTTTGTTTGCTTGTTTATTTCTTTATAGTGAGTGGCTGGATTATTTTAGGGAAGTTTATTTTCACCTGAAGATGAAGCTTTTGATGTCACTTCTTTATAAAATGCAGCATTGAATATGTATACAGTCGCACTGGAATGATTGGGATTTTAACAGGGCTCTTATTGACCATTTTATATTTTTTGTTTTTCTTGATATCATACCCAGATGTTATGTCCCACTAATTTTAGGCGGGTTGTGCTGTTGTTTTTGACAGTGCCTTGAAGTGTAAATTGTTTCACACTCTTACCCAATTAAATCTAGGTCCTTTTGCAGAAATAGTTTTCACAGCAAGTTTGAGACTTATTCTGACTCCAGAAGTATTAGCTTTGTCTATCCCTGTTTTTTTCCTGGTAAATCGCTGGTTTATAGGTTAGCTTATTGCTGTCATGGAGGTACCAGCCTTCGTTGCTTATTACCAAAATGAACATTATTTTCAAGAGCACCTTAAAACATGAACTTTCCCACAGTTTAAAATAAAGTTACTTCCTTTGGGTAGAGCTTTTGAGCTCTCTGATCTTATGCTTTACCTCTTTTCCAGAGCAAAATCTTTGAGATCCTTGCTTTAGATCTTGAGCTGGGGACAATGACCCAATTGTTTTGGAGTAACAGCCCTACTTTACCAGTGGAGCTTCGGGTGGGGCCTCTTGTCCTCTTAGCTTACTTCTCCCAGCCTGGAACCTCACCCTACAAAAAGGCTAAAGCAAGGGTGATTAGGTCCCCAGTTTTTTAAGCCTAGTGTAAAGCCTTTGATCTCTCATTGCAGGCTGGGTGGAGGAAGGGGGCCCCATGATTTTGGCCATTAGGAATGTAGCCTTTGCCACTCAGAGCTGCAGGGAGACAGAAGTGCTGGGGTGTTCCCCTTCTGGTGACTAGATTTCAAGGGCCAGGGAACCTCATTTCCTTGGCTACTCACAAAGTGGAGCTTCCATCAAGCTAACCTAGGGCATATAGGAGGGAGAGTGTGGGTTGCAGCTTAAGTGCCTCATACTCTCCCTGTTTTTATTGATGTCTCCTAGAATTTCTCAAATATGGGATTCTTCATTTGCTGTGTGCCCTTAGTACAATTTTCAGAGACTTCAAGTGGTTGTTTTTTAAATAATTTCACCAATGTGGATATTATTTTAAGGAGCAAGTCTGCCAGGCACCTTATACCTCCTTTCTGGAATTGGAACTTCTGTGCTTTATCTTGAGGGTTGAGGACCTTGAAGAGTTTAAGTACTGGTGACAACTGGGCTTTAAAATACTACTTTGGCTGCAGTTTACAGACCTGAAAGGGACAAAGCTCAGTGCAGAGAGTACTCCTAGGATGTTACTGAGAAATTGCTTAAATTAAAATAGCAACTGTTGAGAACCATAAAGGTGAACTAGTTCAATAGAGAGAACTGATTAAGACCTAGTAATTAATTTGATGGATGGGGGGTTAGTATAGGATAGGAAGATGTTGCAAAAGAGGGAATCATTAAAATGACTCAGGGTGCTTCACAGAGTTGTCAAAATGTAGATTCTGATTCAAGGCCTGATTCAAAATATTTAACAAGCTGCTAGGTGATGCCCGTGATGCCTTTCCTCTGTCCTCTATTTGAATAGCAGGGACCTGGGGTTTCTTGTTCATGCAATTGGTGAAGGGTGGCAATGTGAATTACCAATTTATTTGTCTGTTTCCCCTACTAGAGGGAATGGATTTGTCTTGTTTACTATTATATCTTGACAACATAGTAAGTATTTGGTGGATAAATATTTGTTGAATGATTTAATGACTGTTGAAAGGAAATACAGACAAAGGAAAAGGTGTGTGGTAAAAAGATGAGTTTTGTTTTGAGTATGTTGCATGTGAGCTGCCTGGGGACATTTCAGGTAAAAAAATATTTTTGACTGTCTTAAGTTCATAAAAGGGATTTGGGCAAAAGTTATAGAGTTGAAAGTTGAGGATTCAAATGGTAAAAGAGAGGAAGAGATGGGCTGAGATTATTGTGGAAAGATATGTAGAGGAAGAAATTTTTAAAAAATGGGCCAGAGCTCATATTTCTGAAGAACATTTATTTTGGACATCACTTATTACTGTGTCTATATTTCATAAGTCTGTTGAATGCTTGTAAAAGTAAAACTTAAGTATATATTTGTTACAGGTTAAAGAACTCTTTTCTTCTTTGGGAGTTGAATGTAAAATCTTGGAACTCGATCAAGTGGGTAAGTAGAATGGTTCATATGTACTGTTGTAGTAAATATCAACAAGATTGACTTAGTTTCATTTGTTTTGTTCATTTCGGTTTACTCTTGTCTCTTTAGGTTAGATGAGTTTTTTTTTTTCATCTATGTTCAATCATGTAGAAAAGGAACCTCTGCATTACAGATAATTTGGTATAGATTTTTTATGTATATATTTTTATTTGAGGGGTGTGAAGGAAGATGTATAAGCTGCTAACATTGAAGTACTTCAGACATTTCAGATGTATTTTGTAACTTCTAGCAAAATAGATTAAGCTGTAATAAATGAAAAGAATCTGCTCCTTTATCCTGATTGTATTACCTATGAAGGAGAGAACATCAATCTTTCAGCTTTATACTTCTGAATTCTTGTAAATAATGCATTAATTTATCTAATAATAACCAAGCACTTTACACGTGTAAATGTTTTGTAGGGGTGGGAGACAAAGTGTCGAACAGGAAAAACATTATGTCTGTCTTCATGGGACTTCACCATCTCCTTTTACCTAGTCACCTTAATAAGTGAAATGTTCTTAAACCTTTGAGACTTTTCTAAAGAGCATACAAAATACATAGTCTTAAGTAGTTGTGGCCTGGTTTTATTTTGGGGGATAGAGAACAGATTTGGGATTGTGATCATAAAGATTTTTCAGCCCTGGTCAATGTGGTTCAGTTGTTTGGAGTGTCATCCCATAGGCAAAACGTGTGGGTTCAATTTCCCAATCTGGGTGCAGGCACATGTGACCCCTGGTCCAGACACCAATCCCTAATCTGGGTGCCAGTCCCTGATCTGGATATATATAGGAGGTAGCCAGTCAGTGCTTCTCTCTGGAATTTATTTTTCTCTTTCCCTTTCTCTCTCTCTAGAAGCAATGAAAAAAAAAGTGTCCTTGTGTAAGGATTAAAAATTTTTTTTCAAATATAATTGTAGGAAATATTTTCATCACTATTACTGTTAAAGCAGATTTTATCTTGATATTTGATCTTTAAAGAGGATTCTTACCTATTTTTCTGACATTATCATTGAATTATATATCAAAATCTAATTTAGAAGGGTTTATTTGAAAAGAAATTAGTAGATTGGTCTTTAATTTTCTAAGGTTTCTCTTGAAAACCTGGATGTTTTTTCCTCTTAAGTCATTATTTCATAAAGTTAGATAACACACTGGCTTTGTATGGGTGAGTAAATGGGAGCATTCGAGTGTTGTAACACTTCTGTTTGACTCACAAAAGTTTGGAACCTTTTTGATGTTTTTATATATTCAATGTTTTATTCTTTAGATGATGGGGCCAATGTTCAAGAAGTGCTGTCAGAGATCACTAATCAGAGAACTGTGCCCAATATTTTTGTGAATAAAGTACATATGGGTGGATGTGACCAGACTTTCCAGGTAATGATGGTATTATATGTTTTTTAATGCTGTTTGTTCAAGTTTTGCTTGTAAACATACTTGAAAAGGGATAGGTGATTTTTAGGAGTCTATTAGTCTTTTAGAAATTATAAGATGGAAAGGGTATAAGATGATTATCAGGAAATCTTGATTACTTTTTTAAAATTTAAACTGTTATTTATTTATTTTATTGTTGTTCAAGTACAGTTTTCTGCCTTTTTCCCCACCCTTCCCCACCACCCCAACCCTTCTCACCTCCCTCCCCCATTTCCACCCTGTTGTTGTCCAAATGTCCTTTATAATTGTTCCTGTAAACTCTTCACCCTTTTCCCCTATGATCCCCTCCCCTTTCCCTTCTGATCACTGTCAGCCTATTCTCAATTTCAGTGTCTTTGCCTATACTTTGCTTGCTTGTTCATTTTGTTGATTAGGTTCCTGTTAATGGTGAGATCATATGGTATTTGTCTTTTATCGGTTGGCTTAGTTCACTTAGCATAATGCTCTCCAGTTCCATCCATGCTGTTGCAAAGGGTAGGAGCTCCTTCTTTCTTTCTGCTGCACAGAATTCCATTGTGTAGATGTACCATAGTTTTTTCATCCCTTCACTTACTGATGGGCACCTAGGTTGCTTCCAGCACTTGGCTATTGTAAATTGTGCTGCTGTGAACTTTGGGTTGCGTAGGTTCTTTTGGATTGGTGTTTCAGGGTTCTTAGGATATAATCCTAGCAGTGGAATTGCTGGGTCAAAAGACAGTTCCATTTTTAGTTTTCTGAGGAAATTCCATACTGTTTTCCATAGTGGTTGCACAAGTCTGCAATCCCACCAACAGTGCACTAGAGTTCCCTTTTCTCCACAACCTCTCCAACAATTGTTGTTTGTTGCTTTGTTTATGATGGCCATTCTGACCAGCATGGTATCTCATTGTGGTTTTAATTTGCATCTCTCTGATGGCTAGTGATGCTGAGCATTTTTTCATGTGTCTCTGGACCCTTTGTAAGTTATCCTTGGAGAAATGTCTGTTCAGGTCCTTTGCCCATTTTTTAATTGGGTTGCTTGTCTTCTTATAGTGGAGTCATGTGAGCTCTTTGTATATTTTGGGGGTCAAACCCTTGCCTGAGGTATCATTGGCAAATATGTTTTCACATATAGTTGGTTCTCTTTTTATTTTAATACTGTTCTCTTTAGCTGTGCAGAAGCTTTTTATTTTGATGAGATTCCATTTGTTTATTCTTTCCTTTGTGTCCCATGCTCTAGGGGACATATCAGTGAAAATATTGCGTGGACTATCTGAGATTTTCCTGCTTATGTTCTCCTCTAAGACTTTAATGGTGTATTTAAGTTTTTTATCCACCAATGAGACTCGACAACCAACTTATACCATACACAAAAATAAATTCAATCTTGATTACTTTGATAGAAAATAGCTTTTCTACCAGCTCAGACTTCAGAAGGTTTTGAGTGGATTTGACAGACAACCAGGTGGGCTACCCTGGAGACCTTGGTCTCATCATGATGGAGAGAGAAACAATGGCTGTTCTCTCTTTTGGGTTAAGCAAAATAAGGTCAATGCTAACATTTTAGGCTATGGTAAGTAGAGTTCCTGTCAAGGCTGCTAATCCTGGGAGCTTTGCAAAGGCCCATGGACTTTTAATTTTTGATTTCTAAAGTACAGTAATGAACAGGAATCAGTCAGTTAAGTACTGGTAAATAAAAACTGATCTTTATTAAGTAAGGTTCTTATTTTATAACTAGTTATCTACTTTTATTAAAATTCTACTCTTGTATCCTTTATGTATGTATGCAAATGATAGTAATCAGTGATTGATTAAATATTTATAGCTGAAATTGTAATTAAGAATTGTTCTTCATGGAGGAAAAGAGATGACCTGCATTATATGTTAATCTATAATTAGAGTTGTTATTCAGTGACAGTCTGCTTTATTGGTCTAGAAGCTATAACTCAATTCACAAGGTGGTAAGTACTATAATTATAGTCCCTAAACACCTTTAGGAGTGTTGGTCTTGCTAATCCCAATGTAGAAAATGTAGAAAATAATAACAGGGTAAGTCTGGAGCTATAGAGATATTTACTCTATTTGAAAACTGAAAGGTGTTGCCCTGGATGACAGATGCTTAGGAGACAAATTTCTCTAATGGCACCTAACAGTAGGGAGGCCAAAGGAGTCCTGTTTAGATGTGCCAAGAGCCTCTGTGTATCCATCCTTCAGTGGGCCACATACCAACTATTGAGTCCTGTAGTTGCATAGCATTTCTGTTGTGCTTCCTGGGATGAGCTGGTTCCCAGCATGACATTTCTAAAGCCAACATAATGGGATTGAGCAACTGACTACTTATAAAAACTATTACTAAATCATATATCGAACCTCTAACTTCAGCTAAGCTAGTTCTGATCACAAGGCAAGCCAAGTGAACAAGAGTACATAGTGCAGAGTCAGGCTCATGACCATTGCTGAAAGAAAAAGCAAAATGTTTGTGTTGTATAGGAAATTTATCAGTAAACTGTAAAGTTTAGATCAATTTATGAGAAATCATGAAAAAAATTTGAAGTGCATTTCCTGCTGATAATGCATAAGAATTGTTTTCAAAAGGAAGCCTAGCACATAGCACAGGTGAAGAAAATACAGAGGATATTGGAAAGTGGTATTTGGCTGTTTTTTGCACTTGGATATGACATTTTAATGATTAACTCAAGGGAAAGGACCTCATCTGATAGATGTAAAGGCATGACCTTTCAGTCATTGAACATGCCTGCCTATCAGGAGTACATGAAAGAACATGTACTTTGGCATATAGTCTTACTAGTTGGATCTTATTTGAATACCATTCAGATAAATGTACAGTCCCAATTTATTATAGATTGTTTCTAAGATTTTATAAAAGAAAACCATACTGATTAAACATAGTATAAAGGTAAACAATTTTAAAATAAATCATACCATATTCTTGAAACTACAGGCACATCAGAGTGGTTTATTACAGAAGCTTCTTCAGGAGAATTCAGTATATGATTATGACCTCATTGTCATTGGTGGTGGTTCTGGTGGCCTTGCATGTGCTCAGGTATGAAATAAATAAAATGATAATTTCCTTGATGATTGCCATAAAAATTTATTTTGCTACTTAAAAAAAAGTCCATTTTGATGTTACAGTTTTAAGATTTTATTGTAATAGCTCATTTAATAAAGAGAAAAGACTGTTATGATACAAACAGCCTTTTTATTTAGGGAATAGAAAAATTAGGGAATGTCAGGAAAGTGACAAGATCTTTATATGTGCCTTTTTTTTTAAGGAAGCTGCCATTTTGGGAAAGAAAGTGATGGTGCTAGATTTTGTGGTCCCATCACCTCAGGGTACATCTTGGGGTAAGGTGTTGTTCTTTGTTGTTCTCTGCTCTTTACATACATTTTTGGCTTGTTTAATATTATTTAATCACAAGAATTTCAGGATCAATAACTAGCCTGTTTCATAGGTGCTGTAAAGTAACTGGCCTGAAACTATTGTATAGTTAACAAGTGCTGATTTAGAAAGATAGCATAAAAATAATTGAGGAAGATCTTGCCCCCCCCAAAAATTCACAACCTAGTATTCCAGCATTTTTTCCATAATAATTTTTGCACACATGCATGAACATTTTCATAGTTGTGATTATAGTGTGTCATATTCATTTAAGTTTGCTCTAACATTTGTGTGTGTGTTTCTGTGTTGATTTTATAACTGACTTTTAACGCTGCATGCTGGTCAGTTTGAATTTGTGTGTATGGTCATTCCAAATCAGTTAATAAAGTATACAGTGAGCTTCCAGCCCTGTGACTTTGCTGTAGATGAGAGTGTTCACTCTTCCATGTTCTTTTCAATATAAACTGGAACACATAGATTTTATGCTGCATATTTTCTGTTTATGCTTCAAATCCATTGTTTATTGTCTCTACCCTGCTACATGTCCCAGAAGGTTGGTGAATTGATAGGTAGCCTTGTCCTCTGACTTCTGGTTGGGCTTGGCCAGTTGGGATAATAGGAGGAGAACAGAATGAGGGAGGAGAATGGAGTTTGGGGTCTTCATTCTCCTGGATTCCTGTCTGCTGGCTGCTGCAAGCTGGCTCCATTCCCCTATGGAAGGCCACAGCCTTTGTCATGACCATTCCTCTTTGGTCTGGGGCACCTATGCAGTGTGCTTGCCCATTCCTGCAGGGTTGGTGATGAGCCACTGTTAGTAGTTACTACTATTGTGCTATCCCACCTTGCTTTTCCTGCCCATACCCCAGAGACAATTTCTCTATAAATTTTCCTTAGTTAACCAACCTGAGGTACTATTGCCTGCCAAAAATCTGTCATACTATGAAAATCATTTTTAAAAATTTAAACTTACTCAAAAAATTATAGTCAAGAATTTCATATTAGTAAAGATAATTTACCTTGCAGTGGACCTATTGGCTCTTAGGAGTCAGACTTACAAAGAGTAAAGGCTAGAAGCTGAAGTTCTGGTCCTTGGTCTGATCCCTTTGTAGGTCAGACTCAAATGAAAGTTTTGGACATTGTCTCTAGAAAACTGTTCAGATGCACATCCACATTTTTGCTTATCCTTGGGCCTCCTTCACAGACCCATGATTAAAGACTTTGGATTAACCGTTTGCATGTTATTGTGGCATATGTTAATCCCACAACCAATTGTTATTTCTGTGTTTTAATAACACTAACTCTTCATGTGTGTAAACACACACATACATGAAACATTAAAACTATTATTTTCTTTCTCAGGTCTTGGCGGTACTTGTGTAAATGTAGGTTGTGTTCCTAAGAAACTGATGCATCAAGCTGCCCTTTTGGGACAGGCATTAAGTGACTCAAGGAAATTTGGCTGGGAGTATAGTCAACAAGGTGGGTAATGGTATATAAAAACAAAGATTGGGAGCGCTGGTTGGCATGGTTCAGTTGGTTGGGCATCCTCCTGCAAACTAAAAGGTTGCCAATTCATTCCTGGTCAGGGCACATGCCTGGGTTGTGGGCTCTGATGTTTTTCTCTCACACCAACGTTCCTCTCCCTCTCTTTCTGCCTTTCTTCCCCTTTCTCTAAAATAAAGTAATTTTCAAAATTTAAAAAATACACTGATGATGTTAATTCTTCCAATCCATGAACACGGTATATGTTTCCATTTGTTTGTGTCTTCCCTGATTTCTTTCTTCAGTGCTGTGTAGTTTTCTGCATACAGGTCTTTTACCTCTTTGGTTAGGTTTATTCCCAGATATTTTATTTTTCTTTTCGCTATATCGAATGGGATTTTTTCCTTGATTTCTGCTTCTGCTGATTCATTGTTTGTATACAAAAATGCCTTTGATTTCTGGATATTGACTTTGTATCCTGCTGTTTTGCCAAATTCAAAATGTTGGAGAGGGTGTGGGGAAAAGGGGACCTTAGTTCACTGTTGGTGGGATTGCAGACTGGTACAACCATTATGGAAAACACTATGGAATTTTCTCAGAAAAATAAAAATTGACCTGCCTTTTGACCCAGCAATTCCACTGCTAGGATTATACCCCAAGAATCCTAAAACATCAATTGCAAAGAACCTATGCACCACAATGTTCATAGCAGCACAATTTACAATAGCCAAGAATTGGAAGCAACCTAGGTGCCCATCAGTAAATGAATGGATCAAAAAATTGTGGTACATATACACAATGGAATTCTATGCAGCAGAGATAAAAAAGGAGCTACTACCTTTTGCAACAACATGGATGGAACTGAAAAGCATTATGCTGAGTGAAATAGGCCAGGCATTGAAGGACAAATACCATATGATCTCACCTTTGACAGGAAGCTAAAGAATAAAACAAACAAGCAAACAGAACAAAAACAAAGACGCTGAAATAGAGAACAAGTGGGCAGCGACCAGAGGGGAGAGGGAAGGGAACTTAAGGGGAAAAAGGGGGAGGGATTTTGAGGAACAAGTATGAAAGACACAGAGATGAGGACTGGGGGGGTGGGGAATGGGAGGGAGGGGGGAGACCGGGCGGGGGGGTGGGGTGGGATGGGAGAAATAGATTAAAAAAAAAATGTACTTGAAAAGTAACTAAATAAAATTTATATTAAAAAAAATAAAAATAAAATACACTGAGCCCTGACTGGTGTTGCTCAGTGGATTGAGTGCTAGCCTGTGAACCAAAGTGTTGCTGGTTCAATTGCCAGTGAGGCACATACCTGGGTTGCAGGCCAGGTCCCCATTAGGGGGTGCGCCAGAGGCAGGCGCCTCTGATATTTCTCTGATATTGATATTTCTCTCCCCCCTCTCTCCCCGTTCCCCTCTCTCTAAAAATAAATAAATAAAATATTTTTAAAAATATTGAGAGAAAAGAACAAATGAGTTTTTTAGAGAAAGACTTGCTATTTTTATTTCTATAGCTAATTTTAAATTTTTTAAATGAACACTTGTTAGGAGCCACCTGTATGTTAGTCATACAGAGGACTCAGAGATGGTCAACTAAACCTGGCCCTGCTCTCATGGGCCTTACAGGAGGGAACTGTTTATAGTTATAGTTATTCCAGACTAGTTGAATATGAGGGAGAATAATCCCTATTTTCAGATTTATTTCAAGTAAAAAGAAAATAGACTAGCAAGGGTCATTATTTGGATTTCTCCCCCATTATTATGGTAATATTTTGTTTTATCAGTGGTTTTGTATGTCTTAATGAAAAATGGATAACAAATTCATCCAATAAACACTTACTGGTTAGGCTTTGAGGGTATAGATATGAGGAAAAGATAACATCTGCCCTTAAGAAGTGCACAGACTGTTTGAAGAGGAGAGAGTCATTCAGTGCACTCTAATTTATGGAACTGTTTTAAACATCAGTTTGAGGGGCACTAAGTGTAACCTTGAGTGTTGGAGGTAGGGTGAGGGTTGGAGGTAGAGTGAAGGTTGAAAGTTGAGGGGTTAGTGATTGGCTGGAATAAAGAACTAGGGCAGGATATTGAGAGAAATGAGATAAGAGAGGTAAGCAGGTACCAAAGGCTCTGAAATGCCATTTGGAGGAGGTAGAATTTATCCCAAAGGTGGTAAGAGTTGTTGAGAAGTTTCAACAGTAGAGGAGCATGAACCATAGTTTGGATTTTGGATCCCTCTGATGGCACCAAGGAATTTACAAGGCTTGAGGTGGGTTGGGGAAGGGTCAAGTCCAAACATAGGTGAGATGGGGAGCTGTTGCATAACCCAAAGGAGAAATGATGAGGCCTGGGCAATGATGAGGCCTGGGCAAAGACCATGAAATTCATTGGAAAGAATGAGATGAATTTAGAGAATTTAGCCATGGTATTGATAGGTTAGATGTGGAATGGTGATCTTATGAGAATAACATATGGAGTTTTTAAAGATAAAATGACAACTTGTTTCTTTTCCCAGAGATTTTGATCCAGTAGATCTGTACTTGTGCATAAAGTTTCACAGATGATTCTGATACTGAAAGGTGATTCTCCAAAGCTATCTAGGTCATTGGTAGGGTAGAGTGTGAAGGGAGGAAGGAATTTAGCAAGAGGGACTGGATGAAAATGCAATACATTTATTCAGATAAATAACAAAGTCTGGTTTGCAGCATAATGAGTTATAGCTGGACATATTCCCTATTGACAAAATTTCCCTGGTCTACTCATTGGAGAGCTTTTGGTCCAATTATAGTTAAAATAGAATAGAAGAAGAAGTAAAGATAAAAATATGAATAATAAAATAGCAATAAATACATATTTATCAACAATTACTTTAACTGCAAATGGATTAAATACTCCAAGGCATATGGAGACTGAATAGATAACATAACAACACCCTTACATATGCTGTCAATAAGACACAGACATTTGATTAAAAGACAAACACACAGGGGACTTCCACCAAGATGGAGGTGTAGGTGGAAACATTGTGCCTTCTCACACAACCAAGTTTAAAAACAATAAAGTTTTAGCAACAGAAACACAGCCAAACCACAGAAAATTGAACTATATGAAAGTCTGACAACAACGAACCCTTCAGCCAAACCTGTAAGAGGGGCAGAGCCAGCAGCAGAGTGGGGTTGGGAAGGAAAGATCCACTGGACTGACCAGGGTACCCAGCCCAGGCGCGCAGGCAGAAGTGGGCAGATCCCAGGTGTGGAGTAGTGGGTGGACCCACTGGGGGCTGACCTCAGTTGCACATTTATGGGCAGATGAACAGGCAGGGGAGCAAGGAGTGAGGCGGAACTCGTGGGCCCCAGCAGCGGGAAGGCTGAGGGGACCTCTGTTGTCCCTCTCTGACCCCACCCCCACATACAGCATCACAAACCAGCAACCTGGGTGGCCCCACCCTGGTGAACACCTAAGGCTCTGCTCCTCATATGTAACAGGCGCGAACAGAGCAAAACATTACGGCTCAAGAACTCAAAGCCCCAGAGCCCATAACTAAGTGATGAAGAAATAGCCAAACTTTCAGATGCATAGTTCAAAACACTGGTGATCAGGATGCTCACAGAACTGGTTGATTTTAGTCACAAATTACAGAAACATATGAAGGCTAAACTAATTGAAATGAATGGAAATGCACAGGAAACCAATAGTAATGGAAAGGAAATTGGGACTCAAATCAAAGGAGTGGACCAGAAAGAGGGAAAAATGACCAAACAGAAAAGGATGAAGAAACAAGAATTCAAAAAAATAAAGAGAGGCTTAGGAACCTCCAGAACATCTTTAAACATTCCAACATCCAAATTATAGGGGTAGCAGAAGGGGAAGAGGAACAGCCACCAGTGGAACACTTATTTGAACAAATAATAAAGGAGAACTTCCCCAGTCTGGCAAAGAAAATAGACTTCCAGGAAATCCAGGAAGCTCAAAGAGAGTCCCAAAGAAGTTGGAACCAAGAAGGAACACACCAAGGCACATCATCATTATATTAGCCAAGATTCAAATGAAGGAGAGAATCTGAGAAGCAGCAAGAGATAAGGGGACAGTCGCCTACAAAGGAGTGTCCATCAGACTGTCAGCAGATTTCTTGAAAGAGACCTTACAGGCAAGAAGAGGCTGGAAAGAAGTATTCCAAGTCATGAAAACCAAAGACCTACAACCAAGATTGCTCTATCCAGCAAAGCTTTCATTTAGAATGGAAGGACAAATAAAGTGCTTCTCAGATAAGATCAAGTTCAAGGAGTTCATCATCACCAAGCCCTTATTATATCAAATGTTAAAGGGACTTATCTAAGAAAAAGAAGATAAAAAAAAGATGAACAGTGAAAGGACAGCAAACTCACAGTTATTAAGAACCACACCTAAAACAAAAGCAAACTAAGAAGACAGCTAGATCAGGAGCAGAACCACAGAAATGAAGATCACATGGAGGGTTAGCAACAGGGGAGTGGGACGGGGGGAAGATACAGAAAATAAGTAGCATAGATGGTAGGTAGGAAATAGATAGGGGGAGGGCAAGAATAGTATGGGAAATAAAGAATCTAAAGAACTTGAGACATGTGGTCATAAACTAAAGGGGGAATGGTGGGGGAGGTGTGTGCAGGGTGGAGGGGAATGAAGGGGGGAAATAGAACAACTGTAATAGCATAATCAATAAAATATATTAAAAAAAACAAACATAGACTTAAAGGGATGAAAAGATGTCATGAAAGTTGAAACAAACACACAACTAAACCAATCTTGGGCAGCAATAGTTATACCACACAAAATGGACTTTAAAAGAAAGGCTATGTAGAAGGAGACAATGAAAGCACCAGCAGTTCCACTCTGGGTATTTTAAGAAATCCAAAACACTAAATTGGAATGATAGATATATTCATATGTATTTTTACTGTATTCACATGCAGCATTATTTACAGTAGCCAGTATGTGGAAGTCAGTTATGTGTCCATC